CGTAGGATAAAGATAACATGTTCCAGTGTAGGATAAAGATAACATATTCCAGTGTAGGATAAAGATAACATATTTCAGTGTAGAATAAAGATAACATATTCCAGTGTAGGATAAAGATAACATATTCCAGTGTAGGATAAAGACAACATATTCCAGTGTAGGATAAAGATAACATATTTCAGTGTAGAATAAAAAGGAACATATTCCAGTGTCGGGTAAAGATAACATATTTCAGTGTAGAATAAAGATAACATATTTGAGGATGACACTTTTCAAGTTTATTATGAAAATTTTGTTCTTTAAAAAGACAGAAATGTTGTGATGGGTAATGTTATCTTATATGTAATATAAAACTTCAGAAACCATACCAACTGTAAATAACTAAATAATTTTTTATACACAGCACATTTGTGTGTGTGTTTGTTTGTTTGTGCATATATGTATGTATATATAAATATACATATATTTCACTAGTCACTCAGATTGAACTCTTGAGAAGTAGAGATGAGAACACTGTGAAGAAAACACTTACAGATATGGAGACACTCTGTTGCAGTTTGGACAGCCTTCTTGTTGTGAGCCACTTACTTATAGATGAAAATGTGAAACTCAAGAAATTAGCTAGTAGGTATTTCAAGTTTCAGCTCTGATTTGAATTTAATAATATATATAGTTGTTTAAGAATCTTCTTCACCTAAAGAAGTTATTCATATACACTGTGATCATCTTGAGGTTGTTTGTTCTTTAAAATTTTGTAAGATTGACCTTTCTTGATGTTTGTGGTTCAACACTAATGTGTACATGTGATCTTATTTATAATATGTGTATAAAGACAGGGATACTTCAAAAGGACTTCTGTATCAAGTATCTTACATTTCAATATTGATTTTTTTCTTACACAGAATTGTACTTGACAAATGCATCTAAAACAGTCAACCTGAGGAAAAAAGTAAGTTTTTTTTTTCTATTTGTATCACAAAATATAGTTATAATTATGCTGAAACAATTGAATCATAGATATTATGAAAATGTTACAAATTTTATCAAAAACACACTGTAGAAAACATTTTCATTCACCTTACAGTAATGAAGGACAACAAGAAAACCTCAACCAGTATACCTCGAACATTTTGTCAGCTGTCATGTTATGCCTATATGTAAAATAACCTGATAGATTTAGATCCAGTAGTAAGGTATTTGTTCTATAAATGATGTTTAGAAAGACACAAGATTATATACACATAGATCAAATATTAGAATGCAACCAACAAATGTCCAGTACTACTGTTGAAGATGTGGACAACCAGATATTGCTTCTCAGTGTAGTCTATGCTAAGTACAGTGCATTTCTTCAGCTTCATCTTGCCAGTTCAGTAAAATGTGTATTGTGTAGTTCTATACAAAAGTTTTAAGAAAATAAATTGTCTGAGAAGACCAGAAAAGAATCAGAATCACTAAACTACATGAAATGAGGAAGAGTTGTCTACTCTCCAACCAAACTTCTCTACTACAGATATTTTAATGCCTTTTTCTAAAACTGATGTTACTCACACCACCTTTCATTGAAACATAAAATTTCTAATCCATATATCTATCATATGGAAAATAAGTCTTGTTTCTGTTTGAATATCCTCTGAAGCATTCAAGTAAAGCAGGAAACAAACTTTTTAGCCATAAAAAATAGTTGATTATAATGTTTAATTAGTTAATAGATTTAAAATTATTACATTTTTTGAAGTTCTTCCCCAAGTATCACCAGAATAGGACAGTGTCATGAAACCTCATCTACCTTTAACTGTGTAGTTAACAATGGTGATAGCATAATTGCCTAAGTAAAGCTTTACTCTTCTGTTTCAATTAGTCTTTTGGAAATTAGAAATCTTAGCTTTGCTTTAGCTTGAATATTTTACCCATATTTCTACACATAATTACAATGTGTATATGCTTAATTTTGATTGGCTAAGAGATTTGATGAAAAAGCTGTATTTTAATGCTAATCATGGTAGTGTTATGACAGCGGAAGTCACGTGATGCTAGTAACACGTAATAAGTTCTAGAAAGATTGGGGAACATCACAAATAATCCAGTATTTGCTAGGCACCCTCTATTCTTGTATATAAGTGTATCAGACAATGAATAGATATAGAGAATTGCAGACAGGCAGAGATGGACAATTGAGTCAAGCTCGGTAGTAAAGTGCGTGAATCATGGTGAATTATAGTGTGTGTTTAAGTTAAAGTGACTGTGGAAATTTAGTGTATTGCAAAGTTGAATTGAGAAAGAATAAACTAGTTTTATTTAAGAAAAGACTTGTATCACTGAAGTTTCTCTGAAAGAATTTCTACGGAAAATTAACAAACGGCCAGAGACGTAACAGTAGCATATGGTTACCTGTGGTTTTATATAATCACTCAGTAACTTAGTTCCTTTACTTTATAGAGAAGGACATGCTATTTTAGTTTCTGAATTTTAACTTTCTTAGATACTAGACATGTTTATTAACATTCAAGGGATCTGAGTAGTGGTATATCTAGTAATTATAAATTATAATTAAGCTGGTTAAAATAAGTCCAATTTAACAAGATGTGTAATTTTTTTTTAATTTTGTAAAATACATTTACTTCCCTTAATTGTACCATGCTCACTTTTGTCTAATAATGGGGTTGCATGTCGTTATTTTGATTATCTGTTTATTACATTGAATTTGTGTTCCATGTTTTGCAAGTACTTGTTAAAAATAATTGTTGATCATTATCTTAAAATTAATGTAGATATCTTTCAAAGACTTAATCTTTAAAAACCTGTAAAGTTATTAAATGTATTGAAGACCTTTGGGTCTGAAGGATGCAATAGCAGTTTGAAGGCAATGCTTTAAATATAGGCCTGCTATTGCCTGATGGTTAAGACACTTGACTTGAAATTGGTAGGCCATGGGTTCAAAGTTCATCCATCACATGGTTGCCCTTTCAGCCATGGGGGACATTATATTATGATAGTCAATCCCATTATTCTTTGTTAAAAGAGTAGCCCAAGAACTGGAGATATGTGGTGTTCACTAGTTGTCTTCCATCTATTCTAACACTGCTAAATTAAGGACGACTAGTACAGATAGTTCTCGAGTACCTTTTCACGAAATTAAACATCCCGTGGTGGGAGAGAGCATTAAGTTTACGAACTTACAACACTAAAATCTGGGTTTCGATTTCTCATGGTGGACACAGCAGATAGCCAAATGTGGCTTTGCTCGAAAACAAACAAACAAAATCTTTAGATAGTTTTGAAGTGTACATTATTTAATAATGAAGAACAGACATGAATGTGGTGTGAGAAATTTTCGTAAAGGTGGAAGTGCAATTTAATACAAAAGCAAACTGAAACAGTAATGAGTACAACTGGAAAAGGACTCTTGATTCATGATGTATGTATTTGTTGAAGGTAGAATAGAGGACAATTATATTTCACATATTTCAATTTCTCTTTTGAATTTTAGTTGTGTTTGAAGACTTTCATGATTTGTTTAAAGACCAGGCTAGAGTTCTTTATTATGAGTGAAAACAGAGTCAGATTTTCTGATGATCAATGATGTGAATGGATTTAGTGGAAGCATTAGTTTTATTTTTTTTTTCAACTTAATTTGATTTTTATGTCTATAAATTTAAGTTTTTTAAATGCCTGTTTCACTAATGTAACACTATCTGTAAAAATATGAGTATGAACATATAATGTTTCTTTTCATTGCATTCCTTGGTGATTTAATGTTAATAAGGTTGTCAAAACACTTGAAACATCATTTCCATTCCAACTACTATAAGCTATTATTCTAAAATTAAAATGACTAATCTCTACAGAAATAACTACATTAATAGCTTCTTACAGAGATAAAGCAATAGCCTCTTACAGACAGCAAGTAATTCTGTCTTATAGAAATGAATTAATAGCTTATTATATAGATAAATTAATAGCTTCTTATGGAAATAAAGTAATAGTTTCTTATGGAGATAAAGTAATAGTTTATTGTTTATATAGATAAAGTAATAGTTTTTTATGGAGATAAAGTAATAGTTTATTATTTATATAGATAAATTAATAGCTTCTTATGGAGATATATTAATAGCTTTTTATAGAAATATGGTAATAGCATCTTTTTTATTTTTTAGCTCCTCACAGTTTATTTAGGAGCCTTAGAATCAGAAATACCTCAAATAAGACAAAGTGCTTGTGCTGCATTGGCTGTTTTAAAAGTAAGTCTTAAATTTTTTATTTTCCCTAAATTGCAATATAAAAACCAATTCACATCTGTAGCTTTTATATAAAAATGTGTCATTTCAAGCTTTAAACAGTTCATTTATAAATACATTTCAAAGTTCCAAATTTTACTTGTAATGTTAATAAAACATCAGTTTTAAATCTATGGTTAAAAGCTGATAAGTCAATATAATGTAGTCTTTTTTTTTATTTCTAACAAAATATTGTGATCTTGTGAATGGTCAAAAGAAGCAGCTAAACATTTCTGGCATTTAATAATACTTGTTTTTTCATTTTGTACAAGTACACAATAGTACTCAGCATGAAACAAGGCTATTTTTCACTTCTTTCAGCAAGAGGTGTATCTTGTAAAATAGTTATTTTAAGAAAACTTTTAACTTCACAAAGTCTCCTTCTTCTACAAACATTTTTCCACACATTCTAAAAGTAAAAGCAACTAAAGCTACAATTTATTTTACTGACATTTTGACTTGCACTTTTTCTGGGTACAATGTTTAACAACAACACTATTGCTACCAGTTATTTTACTTGTGTAATTAGTTTTTACTCTAAGTTACATAAAAACTAGTCTTACTACTACACATATTTTGATGTAATCAGAATGAATTAATATATCTTATATTTCCAAATTTTCAGGCTAATGAATACATAAAAGAATTAGTACATCTTTCCCAGAATGATCCAGACCAGCTTGTACAACAAGAAGCAAAATATACTCTCTTTTCATTTGGTATGTTAAAAAAAACTTTTGTCTGTTACTTCTCAACTCAAAATAATGAAGGAAATATTTAATTATTTCAATTAATACTGAAGCAACATTATGTGTGTATACTAAACGTTATAAAGGTATGAAAGAAAGAAAGTAAGATACATATAAAAATATACAAGTTTTACAGTTAGTAACACAGTATTTAACTAATGAAATGATAAAATCAAAAAATGATTTATAACAGAACTTGTTAATGAAAAATACTTATATTCTATATGCAATTACAGAACTTCAACAGCCTTTACAAGTGTTACTTTTTGAAAAAATGTTCACATTGTATTACATTTAGAACTTATTCAATGCATCTGTGTAAAGAGCCTTCACAAATGTTACTTTTTGAAAAATAATGTTCACATTGTATTACATTTAGAACTTATTCAATGCATCTATGTAAAGAGTGTATTTGATTCGTATATATGTAAATGTTACAATATTTTATGTTAGCTACAAATAGTAATTACCTTAAAGAATAAAAAGGCTCACAAGTTCAAATATCAACAAGTTTTGGTTATTTGATATCATAAAACTAAAATTTAAATGTATTATTTAACAGACTAAAAGTTTTTTTAGGCTAAAACAAATATTTATTATGTGGTTCATTTACATTTAAAAAATTATAAAGATATGAGCCCAGAGAGAATGTCATAGTGTTTTAAATAAGTAGGAATGAATAGTGAGTGTAATGTCTTGAGTTTGTAGGAGTTTTGATGAGTGATTCATTGTCCTGAATGAGTATGAATATTTGTTGCATTAACAATCTAATGAGAAAGAAGGTATGTATGCTGAGTGTTATAAAACTTTAAGTGGGAAGAAGTATATGGTATCTTTACAGTTACCTTAGATGTTCAAGAATGTTTAGTAAAGGATAAAAATATTCTGCATGAGCAGGAATATTCAATGAGTTTTTTCAGTGCTCTGAGTTTGGTAAGAAGATATGGTGAGTGATATAAGGTTAATTTTGATATGAAAGTATGGTAAATGGTATAATGTCTAATTTGGAAGGCGTGTATGGTGGGTGGTATAATTATAATAAATCTTTATTGCATTTGGCAAGAAAGTATGGTGGGGTGCAATATTTTCAGTTTTGTAGAGATGTATGGTGGATGGTATAATATTTTGAATTTGGTAGGAAAGTATTATGTGTGGTACAATGTTTTGAGTTTCATAGGAATGTATGGTGAATGGTATAATGCTTTGATTATGGTTGGGATGTATTCTGAATAAATAGTGCTCGAAGAAAATAAATATGAATGGTGAGTAGTGTATATACCTATAGTTTTCTGATGTTGAAATCTTATCAAAAGATTTTACTTATTTTTAACACAGAATTTTGAAAACATCTAGTAATGATCACTTGCTTGTTAAGTGTATTAGCTGTTTGAAATGTTCTATTTACTGTATTATATTTTATGTATCTAGGGTTAATTGATATGCATGTTTAAAATTATTTATTGAACGTTTTTGAAAATTATAAACTCAGGTTAAACATTTAAATGATCGTATTGAAGACTTAAAGATAAATTCTTAATTTTTCAATTTTACAATAATATGTGGTCCTAATTTTCATATTGTTTATTTAGGAATGGAAGGGAAAAAAGCATTTCAGGAGCAGAACATGGTTACTCATGGGTTTAAGAGCTTGCAAATGAAAGAAATGAAAAGAGAAATGAACTGAAAAGAGTTCAGAATGCGAGATATGGTACCTGTGATTTTCTGTTATCATTAAAATTCTTACAGTCTGTGGTCAAAAATTTTGCATCCTAATCCAAGATGTTTTTAACCATGCATGGTTTAAAAAATAGTAAAAAATATAAAACTTTAAAAAAAAAGAATGTTAAGGTGTAAAAAATAATTTGATAATCACAGATTACCAAAAAATGTTTTTCATTTAATAATTATGACATTTTATGCCTGGTGTTAATTCATTTGTACATGTCAGTAAAAATCAAACAAAAATTCTGAAGCTTTGACTTTCATCATTTGAACAGTCATTCTAGTATGTATTTTGTATTTATGATAAAATATACATTTTTTTCTTTACATGGTCTTTTCTTTCATACTATCCTTTTCTCTCTGTTTCTATGAGACAAATTTGTTGTTTTGTTTTGTTATATTTTTGAATGAGTATTTTGCATGAAGTTAATATATGTATGCAGTTTGTTCTGTGAGTTGTAACTACATGTGTAATGTCTTGGTAAATTGTGATAGTTTGAAACTGAATGTATACTTAGTGATAAATTTATCCTTAGTGGCTGAAATAAAAATAATTTTATGTTTCAATTTGTGGCTTTGGTTGTATCAAATTTATGAACTTGAATAGCATGTGTCAGCACCTTTTGATGTTTTACTTACCAATCACATGGACCTCACAATAAGTTCAGAAAACATTAAAATATACATGTAACTTTGTATTAATTGTTTTTTTATTGTTTCTTAACATTTATACAATATTTTCTAGATTGCTCTATACCTACACATAAACACTGCACAAAACAACTAATTCAAAGAAAATTGTAATTTCTAATCTTAGAGTGATGACAAAGCTAAACCACTGTTATTAAATACTGTCAGTCACCCCCATCAGTTTATTGTAGTGCTGTGACATAGTGCCATGAGCAACATATTTAGCAACTATATATTTTCTCATAGTTAATTCAAATTCACAACCATTCTACAGTACAATGCTAATAATTATATATATATGTATGTATATAAAAAAGATGTTAAATATTTCTTTCATTTTTAAAATAGGTGAAATTGAAAAGAGAATCTGTGACATAGAGGCTTAATGCATTCTCTGATTGGTCGTATCTTCTGCTGTGGACTGCAGTTTTGCCTATTCACGGCTCATCAGCACAGCTTGTGTCAGCAAACAAAAAAATACAGTTAGGCCTTGTGTAATGGTGAAGTGTATGTAAAATCTATGTGGTTTTGAGTCCTTTATAATTCACCATACATGATTAGATATATACATACATGTTAAAGACTTCTTTTCTTTTTCACCAAAGGTGAAATTGAAAAGGCAATCTGTAACATGGAGGCCTTTGTTGAAAAAGAAAAAAAATCTTTACCACATATAATCATTAAACAGTTGGACCACTGTATAATATTGAATAATGAATTAGGTGAGACGGCAAAACATTATTCACGTACCTAAATTAATTTAGGTTACCGTATGGTGAATTAAAACGGACTCAAACCCCCATAGATATAATGCTCATTATTGTTGCAAAGGTATAAAAAGCCATTCTGATGAGAAACATTCATACAGCAAGATTGTTAACAATTTTGAGCCAAAGTACACAATATTTGAAAAACATTGTCTTCGCTGTTATCTTTGGAGGTGCAAAAAGTTTCACATTAGAGTATTTAAAACAGAAATGGATAATGAAACTACACTCACAGCCAATCCAGAGTAACACCTGCATCTGCAAGGTTATGGCTATTAAAGAAAACCTCTCAACCCAAAAGGTCATTACAGTGAAGCTGAATACATTTCCAGTTATGGTTAACAAGGTAATAAATACTTAATAAAGTATCAAACTTCCAGCCACACTTAATAATCATTTGATGTTTCCATGAGGAAAATTATCACAGAAACTGGAATCGGAATAATCCCATTTGACCACGTATTTGTCAAATTTCCGAAAAGAACTCTTTCAAGTTAAATTTCATGCCTTTTATCTGTTTAAGAAACATGTGATATTGGAAAGTGACAACCATGTGGAGTAGAGACCACAACGAAATGTTTATGAAGAAATATGATTTAAGATTGACCTTGTTGAGCTTCACAGATGTTTGTTATTATAGAAAATATGGAGTAGGGGAATGATAAGTAATCAAGGCAATTAGAATGAGCAAGACTGGTGAAGGAAGAAGTGGTTCGGAGGGCAGCGTAACATAACATAATGTTCTAGGACAACATGGGATCTATTGGTCCATCTTGGCTGTTCCATCCTCTAAACTAAATTAAAATAATTTCTAAAAAAATCTTAAGGCCAGCCCTTCATATACTTATCAAGCTTTTTCTTAAACTCACTTAAAGTTACTGCCTCTACATCACCTGAAAGCAACCCATTCCAAAGACTAACCACCCTGGTAGAAAAATGAAACTGTCTTAGCTGTAGATGGCTCCTACCTTGCCAAAATTTGTATTTGTGTCCCCTAGTCCTACTATTCTCATTGTTAAATATGGAAAAAGATGATGCATCAACACTATAAATTCCCTTTACAATCTTAAACACCTCAATCAGATCCCCCCCTAACTCTTTCAAGAGAAAACAATTTGAGGCACCATCCCTGGCACCATTCTAGTAACCTTTTGCAACAATTCAAGACTGACCATAATATTCCAAATGAGGCATAACCAGTGACCTATACAATGAAATTATAACCTCTTTAGACTTGTATTCAATATTTCTATAGATACAACCTAAAATCCTTTTTGCCCTACCACTAGCAACAGCACATTTCTTGGATGGCTTTAGAGACTGATTGACTATTACACCAAAATCCCTTTCCTACATAACACTATTAAGGTTATTCCCATCCAAAC